ACTGTTCTTAAGGAAGGCGCAAAGAGAAGGAGAGCCTTCTCTGTGGCTGCTCCGACCCTCTGGAATGAACTCCCCGAGGAGAATCGCACCCTCACCACCCTCCAGGCCTTCCACATAGCCCTTAAGGCCTGGCTGTTCCGACAGGCCTGGGGCTAAAGAACCGTTGCCCCTATCTCGAATGGTATGATTGTTGTGCTTTTTAATTATGTATTGTTCTGTGTTGTTGTCAAATTGTCTGTATCCCCCTTTCCCTTGTTCGAGTTGTGAGCCGCCCTGAGTCCCCTTAGGGAAAAGGGCGGCATACAAATGAAATAAAACTCTAAACTCTAAACTCTAAACTCTGTTCCGGCAGGCCTGGGGCTGTTGATTTATCCAGCCTCATCCTAAGTTATGAATGTTGTGAAATTTTAATGTTTTTTTTGTATGTCCCCCCCTCCCTTTTTACCTGTAAGCCACCCTGAGTCTCTTTGAGAGTGGGCGGCATACAAACTAATTAAATAATAAAAATAAATAAATAAGAACCTCAGTCATCCAGGGCATGGTTGCCCCAAAGGTGCTTTTTTCAGGAGGCAACTGGACTTCCTTTTTGCGTGCGGACCTTTCGCTTCTCATCCAAAATGGGGTGAACTCATTTGTCCCCCCCACCCCGAGCCCCAGGAGCATTCTACAAGCCTCCCAAAACCTCTGCATGCCCCCCCTTTTTTTGCAAAAAATGGCCCGTTTTTGCGGAAAATGAGCCATTTTTTGCTCGCTTTTGCCACCCCCCCTCCCTCAGCCCTCAGGAGCACTCTACAAGCACCCCAAAGCTCTGCGTGGCATTTTTTTTTTGGGGGGGGGAACAAGGCGTGCAGAGGGTTTGGGAGGCCTGCAGAGTGCAAAAACGTTTTTTAAAAATTTAGCTCTTCAAAATCATGGTGCGTCTTATACTCCGGTGCATCTTATAGACCGAAAAGTACAGTAAGTCTAAGTGCTATTGCTACGGCTGTTACAAAGGCTTAATAACATCATCTGGTTCACCAAAGGTGCTACAACAAGGTCTGAGTTCTCACAATGTGATGAATTACAACCAACCCATTCTCACTCTTTATGCCGCCTACAGTTCTATCCTTTGGGACAGTATTTCTCAACCCTGGCGGCGTGAAGATGGGTGGAATTCTGGGAGTTGAAGTCCACCCCTCTTCACGTTGCCATGGTCAACAAACACATCCAAACTTCAAGCCAGTTTGCTCGTTACTTGGCTTCCCTCACCCCACCTTACCTGCCGAAGAGATATGTCGTGCCGATGTCTTCCTGGGTTTCTTTGAATAGTCGCAGGCCCATTCTTCACAGCATTCGCCCTTGACCTTAATCTGCTTCGGGTTTGGGCACCAAACGAGGGGTGGCTTGGAGTCAGTACACAGGGGGATGCAACCCACATCCCCGTTGATGCAGGTGCAGTTATATTTGCAATTGGGCTGGAAGCTCTCCCCGTTGTTGTACCTGATTCCATTGAGAAGACAGCCCACGCCGCTTATTTCTACAAGGACAACAAGGAGCATCAGCAAAAGGTTGGTGAGAAGGACGATGCTTTGGCTTGCTTGGAAACGCACTCGGTCTAGAAAGCTTTGTGCTTTAGGTGTTAATATATTTCATTCATAAAAACCACCGTCTTCTTCTTTGTTGTTTAATGACCCTTTAATCCCTTGCGGGGTGGAGTCAGAGCAACTATATGGAGGCGAGTATTTACTGGCCAGATGTCCTTCCTGTTGCCAATGCGGAGTTTTGTTCAGCAGATATATTCTCATTGTGCCCAGAGAGAGAGATATCTCCCTCTACCTAGGATTGAACTCACAGTCTCCTGACTGAGAGGTAAGAGCTCCACCTCTTACTCAACCCGGAGAAGACCGAGTGGCTGTTGTGTTTTCCTCCCAANAGAGCAGTATATAAGTTTGATCACTATTGCTATTTGTCTGAAATGGTATAGGGCTGTGATGGCGAACCTATGGCATGCATGCCACAGCTGGCACACAGAGCACATGAGCCATCTCCCTAGCTCAACTCCACTGCGCTACTGATTTTTGGGTCCCTGCTGCGTATGCATGGCGGGGTGCATGCAGGAGACATGTGCACATGCTTGAGGAAAGGGGTCACATGTGCATGCATGGGGATGGGGCCATGCATTCATGCACAGGGGTGGGGGTCAAGCATGCATGCGGGGGGCATGCCCCCCTTGGCCCACTTTTCCTCCCAGGAGGCTGCAGGGAGGCCTATTAGTCCCCAAATGGGGTGCGGGGGTTCATGCATGCATGTGTGGAGGGCATGGGGAGCGTAGGGGGGGAGGTTCACGCACATGCGCAGAGGGGTGCAAGGGAGTTGCATGCATGAATTGCATTATGGGTGCAGACACGCATTCCCGTTGTCGCATGCATGCATCCGTTTAGCAAGCAACGCGAAAAAGGTTAGCCATCACTGGTATAGAGTTTCCTGCTTGAGCTGGGGGTTGGACCGGAAGACCTCCAGGGTCCCTTCAGATTCCTCCACCTTTCCCATGGGGTTGGGTGGGTTTCCCAACCCTGATCAAACTCCCACTGCAGCCCTGACCTCTCCTCTCCAAAAGTCGCATGTGATTCCCCCAGTTGACCTAGTCTTACATAGGAGGTACCTTAATGTGCCTGGTGAGGTCCACCTCGCATGGGCGCAGATTGCAGAGCCGGCTCTCTTTCATAAACTGGCACTGGGCGTTATCATTTGAGATCCTTGTGGAAATGCCCATTCCACAAGTCTTGGAGCAAGGGCTCCAGGAAGATGTTTGCAGGATACAGTTCTTCTGCCATGTGTCAATTTCTCCTCCATAAACTGAGAAGCGAAGGCATTGATGAGATTAGTTGAAGTTTTGTTACCGGTCTTATGATGAGAAAGTCTACAAGAGGTCTACAATTAGCCCTAAAGCGCGCCGACAAAAGCGCGCCGACAGAAGTGCGCTGTAACGTAACCCTACACCTAACCCAAAACCTAACCCNTAAAGGATTAGAAAATAATTGAAGAACCTCTTGTTAGAGGCAAAAAAATTTACCTGTAGCTTTGGGGATGCACAGTTGTTGCCATTTTCTATGCTATTCAAAGAGAAAAGTCCATGTCAGATCACAACAGTTACTCAGACTGCCAGAGGCTTTGTTTTTGAGAAAACACAGCAACAGCACTAAAACTGCAAGAATTCAAGTACCCCAACAAACCACTCGTTCAATTGTTCTACAGTTCTCTGTTACAGTTCTTTAATTCCAAGTATATATCAACAGGTCTGCGTTGTTATGCAAACAGTTGACCGCAATTGTTTAACTTGACGTCTGCTCCATACCTGTGTTCAGACTTCCCAGAAAATTGGGCTTTTTGCCACGATCATCCTACTTATGACTAGGCTCTTTTTTCTAACAGCACACAAAACAATTAGGCAGTTTGAGACGATATAGGAGACTCACACTCGATTTCTCCGGCGATCCTGTATTTGTTCTCGAAGCAGGGGGCCCAAGCGAGCATCTTGAGTTGCACATTCTGACATGGTCTGCAAAGATATTGGCCAAAACTGATTAGCACAAGCAGCAAGGCAGGCTATCTTAGAGAGAAGCAAGTCAGATTTCCAAGTCCACAATAAGGGAGAAGAATGCTAGACAACCAATATGACTTACGTGAAAAAAAATACACATGTGGGACACATTAGCCCATTTTACAGTATAAAGTTGTGGTGGCAACAGGAGTAAAATTAGGAGAGAGATTAGGTACTTCAGCCTTCCAATAATCTCAGCTGCAAAAATTGCTGGGGAAAGTAAGGTTTTGCATGCATGCATGCATGTATGTATGCCTGGGTAGGTATAGGTTCTCCCAGCCAACACCCAGAGCTGCTGGGAGAAAGGTAGCATGCAGTAATAATAATTGTGGGATTTCTGAATGCAAATTGATAGAATCTTGACACACAACCCACCAGACTTAACTGTGGTTGGAAAGAAGAAAGTGTGGGCAATTGATGTGGCAATACCATGGATAATAGAATAGAAGACAAAGAATTGGAGATTACACAATATCAAGCTCTGAATACTGTTGTTAAGAGATTATGGCATAAGCCAGCTGTAGTGGTCTCAGTGATTATCAGCACATTGGATGCCTTATGGAAAAATCTTGGATGGCATTTAGAGAATCTGCACATTGATAAAATTTCCAACTGTCAATTACAAATGCCACGCTGCTTGGATCCATGCATATACCATGCCAACACATTACATTACTTGGGAAGAACTTGACAGGTAGGTAAAAATACCAAATCATCATGTCATGTGACTGACTGTAACCAAGCATCAGCATCAGCATCCAAAAACAACTTGAACACTATCACCATTGACAAAAATTACCATCTGTCAATTGCCAAAGGCAGACCTAGTTGGAACTGCTTACATCCTGTGACAATATCTTTAATACCATCAAATAATCTAAATCTGCCTATCCCAGATCCTTGGGAAAGGCTCGATAGGTGGACAAAGGTGCCAAATCCAGTCTAAACATCTGGCTGACTATGCACAAACTGTAATGATACTACCAGAGGTGGGTTCCTACCAGTTCGCACCTATTCGGTAGAACCGGTTCGTCAAATCTACCGAACCGGTTAGAAGAGGTTCCACCAATGACCCGGAAAGCAGGCCACACCTACAGAAGAGGTTCCAAAAATTTTTGAAACCCACCACTGGTCCTTGGATGTGATTATTCTACACTATCATGCT